AGTGAAGCCCTGACCCCCACGCGTCCAGGGTGCGCTCATGGGGACGTGCCGTCTCCCCTCCCCCCAATCACAGCCTGCCGCTCGGGCAGGGGAAGGCACCAAAAACCTCCCTTAGAACTACAGGAAACAGAGCAAGGTGCCAAGGCGACACCTCCAGCGGCCCTGCCGCCAGCTTTGGGGGAAATGGGCCGTGAGCCCGACAGCCCTTGGCAGGGGTGTGACTGACGACTCCCAGCATTGGTTGCTTTTGCAGGGCTGCTGCACAGGGACTGGGTGTTTGCAGAGAACTCTTCCCCGGTGGCTACGTTCTGTGTCTGCTTTAACCCCTAGGCATTCCAACCCTCCTGCTAGCTCTGCAGGCTTGACTCACCTGGGGGCTTTGGGCACCTGCCCCCATCCAACCCAATTTAAAGGCCCCCTCCCCCCCACTAACTTGGCCAGGGAGCAGCTGTGCCCAGAGAACAGGTGCGCCAGGTGGCCAGGTTAACCCAGTGCTGAAGTCATTGACTTGGGCCAGCAGGCGCTCGGGATCTAGGGCTGGAGAGTGGGGGAGAACCAGAGTCTTAGCTGGACTCAGAGCCCAGCCCCACGGCTCTGGGGTGAGGAGGCAAACCCAGCCACAGGAAGACACGGACTCCTGCAACCAATCGGACACGACCCCTCCCTCCTCTTCACGGGTGTCTGTCTGACCAGCCACGCCTCTGTTTTTCCCTTCGGCTCTGACCCGTAGTTATAATTTGATAAGCTCTTTATCACGCCTTCCGCCTGTTATCTGCAGTACAATGCAATTCCTTGTACTCAGGGGCATGGGCCCCACTGTGCTTAGAAACCATGCTGCTTAGGAATATGCATGTAACCTGTGGAATATGTGGGAGGTGAGAATGTCTGACCAGCCACGCCTCTGTTTTTCCCTTCGGCTCTGACCCGTAGTTATAATTTGATAAGCTCTTTATCACGCCTTCCGCCTGTTATCTGCAGTACAATGCAATTCCTTGTACTCAGGGGCATGGGCCCCACTGTGCTTAGAAACCATGCTGCTTAGGAATATGCATGTAACCTGTGGAATATGTGGGAGGTGAGAATGAGAAATACCCAACCAAAGGCAGTTTAGGATCCGTGACCTTTTAAGGCAGATTAAGACCCTGCAAACATAAATTCATTAACTGAGAAGGGGCCAGAGAGAATCTTCTCCCTCCCCCTCCCCCGGGCAAGATGTAAGATCACAGCAGAAACCTGGGACCGGCCCAGAGAGAGTAAAGCCTCCTGCAGAGCCGAATGGATCTCCCAAGGAACGTCATGGGCGAGGCTCCGGGAAGCTGACGCCAGCCAGCAGCGAAGTCACAAGTGATCTACAGCGCGCTTGCAGCCTGCCTCCGAACTGCCAGCAGGACTGAGGTGAGTGTCACTTCGCTGTCAAGAATCAGTGCCGATAAACAACTCCAAAGCAAGCCTGCTCCTGCCCCCGTTGTCTGGGTTTGATCCTTAGCAGCGCAGAGGAAGTGCAACAGCTCCAAACCAACTGAGGTGAGACTGGCAACCTGGGGTGAGGCAGGTGGAGTGAGCGAGCACCACGGAGCCAGCTGTGACCATCCAGTTGGCTTTAACCCCAAGAGGAGTCTGAGCGGGTGACCTGCTGGTCAGACAGGCTGGCTGCATCGGAGAAGAGGAAAGGACCCACGATTCTATGCAGAGATGAGAGGAGACAGCCCACCTGTGTGGACAAGCACCGTACGGCCCAACCGTCGGGTGAGACACCATGTTAGACAGGCCCCTAAGACGTCTGTGAGCCTGGAAGCCCAGGTTCCAGCCTCCTTCTAGGGTTGGCTTTTACCTGTCACCTGATGACCTCTTATTCTCGCTTTGATTGGTTTCTCTCCAGCCCTGGGAAATAGACATCCACGTGGGGTACTGGAGACACACCTGAGTGCCATGAGTGAAGGGAGCCCTGGGGTGTCATACGTCCCCCAAGGCAGCAGCCCAGCCTACATCACGGTATCGGGAAGGTAAGGGACAAGGAACAGAATAGCCAGACCCACGGTCCAGCTAGCCCAGTGTCCGGTCTTCTGTTCATTCCCGCTGGGGCACCTGGCATTGGCCACCGTCAGAACAGGGAATCCAGTGATCCCTCTCCCATCACCCATTCTGACAAACAGAGGCTAGGGACACCCTTCCTGTTCAGCCTGGCTAATAGATTCATGGAGGTTAGGTCCCTCAATGCCTATCTAGCTCTTTTGAACCCTGTTAAAGTCCTGGCCTTCACCACATCCTCTGGCAAGGAGTTCCACAGGTTGTGCACTGTGTGTGTGTGTGGGGGGGGAATCTTCCTTTTATTTTAAACCTTCTACTTATTAATTTCATTTGGTGACCTCCTAGTTCTTGGTTGTGGGAGTAAATAACTTTTCCTTATTCACTTTCCACACCAGTCATTTTATAGACCTCTATCACATCCCACCCCCCACTTAGTGTCCTCTTTTCTAAACTGAAAAGTCCAAGTCTTTTTAACCTCTCTTCATATGAGGGATTTGGAATGGGTCCCATAATTTGTTGCCCTCTGAGTTTTCCAGCGCTAAGGTATTTTTTGAGATGTGACCACATCTGTACACGTTATTCAATATGTGAGCGTACCATGGATTTATACAGAAGCAATACGATCTTTTGTCTGATTCACTATCCGGTTTTAAAATGGTTTCTAACAGTTTGCTTTTTTGCTGCACATGGAGTGGATGGATTCAGAAAACTATCCACAAGGACTCCAATTTCCCTCTCAAGTGGTACCAGCTAAATTAATCCCCATCATTTTATACGTCTAGTTGGGATTTTTTTTCCAAGGTGCATTACTTCACATTTATCAACATTAAAATTCATTGGTCATTTCGTTGCCCAATCACTTAGTTTGGGGAGATCCTTTTGAAGTTCTTCACAGGCTGCTTTGATCTTAACGGTCTTGAGCAGTTTGGGATCATCTGCAAATTTTGCCCCCCTTGCTGTTTACCCCTTTCTCCAGCTCACTTATGAGAATGTTGAACGGGATTTAAACAGGACCCTGACCAAAGAGAGAAAGGAGAGCAGCAAAATACACACCCTGGACTTCAGAAAAGCAGACGGACTCCCTCAGAGAACTGATGGGCAGGATTCCCTGGGATGTAACATGAAGGGGAAAGGAGTCCAGGAGAGCTGGCCGTATTTTAAAGAAGCCTTATTAAAGGCGCAGGAACAAACCATCCTGATGCGCAGTAAGAAAAGCAAACATGGTAGGCGACCGGATTGGCTTACCAGGGAAATCCTTGGCGAGCTTAAACACAAAAAGAAAGATGACAAGTGGAAACGTGGACAGATGCTAGGGAGGAGTATCACTATATTGCTCAAGAACGGAGGGCAGTAATCAGGAAGGCGAAAGCACAATGGGAATTGCAGCTGGCAAGGGACGCGAAGGGGAACAAGAAAGGTTTCTACAGGCATGTTAGTGGTAAGAGGGTGATCCGAGAGGGGATGGGACTATTACTGGATGGGGAACTTAAACAATAAATCTGGTAGCACTTTAGAGACTAACAAAACATGCAGATGGGATCAGGCGCTTTCGTGGGCACAGCCCACTTCTCCAGGGGACTGTTTTTCCTATTACATTCCAGGAAATAGCTTGGCTTTCCCCTTGCTATTTTTTACCCACTGCCTCCCCCCCCCCCCCACCCCTCCAACACTCCGGTCAGCTGAAAGCTCCTGATCCCATCTGCATGTTGTTAGCCTGTACAGGATAAACTGAAACACAAAACCAAGTCAGGCAGCACTTTCCAGACTGACTCGGCTACTCCCTGAAGCTGGCTGAGGGAGGGAAGCTAGTGACAGCTGATGTGGGAGAAGCTGAAGCACTCAAGGCTTCCTTTGCCTCTGTATTTAGACAAGGTCGGCTCCCAGACGCCTGCACTAGGCAACGCAGCATGGGAAGGAAGTGGGCAGCGCCCAGTGGAGAAAGAACAAGTTAGGAACGATTTAGATCCATGAAATCCGGGCCCATGGCCAAAGGCTCCTGTGATGTAGGGTTGGTACCTTGCTGGTTGCTAGGCTTGGGCTGTGGGTGACCCCCGCCGGCTGCACCACGGCCCAGCAGAGTAGCTGGTGGGTCAGGTAGGTAGCCTGTTGTACTGGTTACCTCCCAGGGAGAGGAACAAGGGGAGGAAGGCGAAGTGCGGCCCTGGCTGGGGGCAGGGCTGGAAGTTGGGCAGTTTCTGTCTGGGATCATGGAGGAAGCAGCCTAAGCAAGGGGCTGGGATTTAGGGGCCCAGTCTCCATCTCCAGGGGGGCTGAGGCATCCTAGGCCTGCCCTGGAACCAGATTCCATCTGTGCTGTATCCTGGAGAAGCAATAAACCCCCCCTGTTCTACTGGCTGGGGGAGTCTATTCGTGCCATTCCGGGGGTGCAGGAGTCGGGGGAACCCCAACGCGCCGTGTCAGCTCCACAATGACTTTGCTATTATCTTTGCAGACTCATGGAGATGGAGAGAAATTCTGGACAGTTGGAAAAAGGCAAATGCAGCGCCCATCTTTAAAAAGGGAAGGACGATCCAGGGAACTACAGACCCGTCAGCCTTTCTTCAGTCCCCAGAAAAATCATGGAGGGGAAAGTCATGGCTCCTTCCCCACTCTGGCATGATAAATGCAGAAGTGGGGGCCAGCAAGTGTACCCCAAAGCCTTATCTACCAGGCTTTGGTATAAAACTTCCCCCAAAAATCTTAAAAACCTAGATCTTGGGAATAAAACTTCCACTGTCACCACCCAAATGTTGATAAACAAACCAGGGGAAAGATCATTTGGGAAATCTCACCCCTAACATAAGTCAGGGCACACTATTAACCAATGGCAGGTTAATAAAAGGAAAAGAAAACTTTTATTAGTACAACAATATTCCTGTTGCAAGCAGAATGACTAGATAGGGAGGTAACAAAAATATACTCCTGGAGAAACTCCGTGGGCCTAGAACTTAGTTACAAAGAAAAGCCAAAACATCTTTTAACCAGTGCCAGATCTCAGATCCCATACCCCATCCTTAAAACAATAAAACCTAACGAAACTACCTAAACTTTACCCTACTCACAGAAAATGAAGAATGGTGTCTTGGAGAGAGAGAGATGCTTGTCCCTCTCTGTAGCTGCAGAGAACACACCAGAGACACAAAAGGAGAAAGGAATTTGGGTTTTTTTCCTTTGTCCCAGTTTGAAAGTCCCACCTACATTCCTACTGGACACTCCACCTGGCTAGGTGTAGTTAACCCCTTAATCCCCAGGCTGCTGGATAACCCCCATAATCATGACAGGGATCCTCAAGGAATCCATTTTGAGGCACCTGGAAGAGAGGAAAGTGATCAGGAATAGTCAACATGGATTCACCAAGGGCAAGTCGCGCCTGACCAATCTGATTAGCTTCTATGATGAGGTAACTGGCTCTGGACATGGGGAAGCCAGTGGCTGTGATATACCTCGACTTTAGCAAGGCTTTTGATACGGTCTCCCACAAGATTCTTGCCAGCGAGTTAAGGAAGTCTGGATTGGATAAATGGACGGTAAGGTGGACAGAAAGCTGGCTAGACTGTCGGGGCCAATGGCTAGTGACCAATGGTTGATATCTGGCTGGCGGTCAGTTTCTAGCGGAGTGCCCCGAGGTTCGATTCTACAGCCAGTTTTGTTCAACATCTTTATGAATGACCTGGCCGAGAGGATGGATTGCACCCTCAGCAAGTTTGCGGATGACACTAAGCTAGTGGGGAGAGGTAGATACGCTGGATAGGGTCCAGAGTGATCTAGACAGATTGGAGGAGTGAGCCAAAAGAAATCCAATGACGTTCAACAAGGACAAGTGCAGAGTCCTGTCCTTGGGATGGAAGACTTCCAAGTATTGTTGCAGGCTGGGAGCCGACTGGCTAAGCAGCAGTTCTGCAAAAAAGGCCCTGGGGATTCCAGTGGATGAGAAGCTGGATATGAGTCAACAGGGAGCCCTTGTAGCCAAGAAGGCTAATGGCATATTAGGCTGCATTAGGAGGAGCATTGCCAGCAGATCCAGAGATGTCATTATTCCCCCTTTATTGGAGAGGGTCCAGGGGAGGGCGACCAAAATGCTGAGGGGACTGGAGCATAGGGCCTATACGCAGAGGCCAAGGGATTTGGGTTCGTTTAGTCTGCAGGAGAGAAGAGTGAGGGGGGGGCCTCAGGAAAAAAGAGGGCAAACTTTTTTTGCAGGAAGCTTGCGAACAGCTAACAGGGAGTTTGGAGAGGGAGTTCGCCAGGTAAAAGAGGAGTAAAAACAGGACCCTTGTGGTAAGTGTCTGTCTGGAGTGTGTGTTTGTGTGTCGGGGAGTTATTTGCTGTGTGCTGAGCTTGTGTTTGTCTGTTTGTTTGTTTGAAGGCGCTTCTAAAAGGTTTGAAATCTACACGCCTCAGTTAATTGGCTGAGCCTCAGTCAGGGGGAGGGGCTACCAGAGCTATATAAGCCTGTGACTCAGCAACCCGTGAGCTTGCAAACAGGGAGTTTGGAGAAGGAGTTTAGAGGGCACTAGTGACTTCTGACCTTCTTTAAAACATAACTCTTAGAATAATCTATATTCCAGAGGTTTAAAAAGAATTCCCGTTTATACTTAAACTTATTCATTAGAAAAATGCAGACAGAAGCCCAGCAGCAGAGTGGGGGCTATCCTGTTTATTGCATCGAGTGTAATATGTATGATTACCTGCCCTGTGGGCGGGTGGTGTATGTGTGCACCCGTTGCAAGGCGCTCCTGACCCTCAGAGACCGAGTTCAGGCTTTGGAGGCCAGGGTGGCTGAACTGGAGGAGCTAAGGGAGGTAGAGAGCTATTTTGATTAGACTTTCTGGGACACTGTAGTACTGTCCCACCTCCAGTCTGAGAGCCCCAGTGCTCTTGAGGATGAAAGTCTCAAGGGAACAGAGCATTCAACGGGAGCAGAGGGAAACCATCCCATAGTTGAGGCCCTCCTCCCAGAGGATGTTGCGGTGTCCTCTCACACTGGGGATACCTCTGAGGGGGAAGGAATGCCAGTTAGGAAGAGACAGGTGTTAGTAGTGGGTGTTT